CGAGAGCGAATCTTCTGCTAGAATATGGAAAGATACACCACTATGATTTTTGTCTGTTGTGCCTGTCGAGAGTAGTGCAGCGACGGCCATTGTGTTCGATAGTCTCGTTTCGCTTTTGCGTAGGACAGGCTGCGGTGCATCTCTGCCACCATGGAAAGAGAGCGCTGCCACTTTTTGTTCCAAGCGAGTGTGGTATATATGATCTCACGCTCTCTTTATTTCTGTTTCTCTCAAAAGTTTGCTTGCTGGTAATGGGCAACCACACTGGCGGCCCCCAGAGGAGATGGACCAAGTGTGTTGTGTGCAAAAAAAAAAAAAAAAAAAAAAAAAAAAAAAAAAGGGGACAACAACATGCCATAAAACCACCAGTACACCCAGAGGAGATGGCATAAATGTACGAGCCTGAATATTGAATTTTGCCGACCTGAAAGCTACCAGTACCACGGCTTGGCAAACTGAGGGCGATACTGGTACCGGCCTACGTGCTGCAGCAGTGCAGCTGCAGCCAGAAGCTGGGACGTACAGGAGGCCAGTGTTTTCACTCGTTAACACCCAGTCAAACAGGGGAGGGGGGGGGGAGAAGAAAGAAAGCCAGAAGCTGGAATGTACATCGGCCGCGGGCCGTTGTCGTTGTCGTTAACGGCCTGCAACTTCCGGGCTTCGGGGAAGGCCCGGCACTGCGATGGAGGATGTGCGTAGGCCCACAGAAACGGGGCAAATGGACTTCAAGATGTCCTGGTGCTGTGCTATGTGGAAACCAGCAGAAGCTGAAGGCGACGAGGGGAAAAGAGAAAAGAAAAGGAACTGCAACATGAGGAAAAAAAAAAAAAAAAAACAGATCGTTGTGTTTCTTTCTTTTCCTTTTTTTGGAAGAAAACTGGTTTTTCATGCGTGCCGCGAGCCCTTCGGATTTCAGGGCTTCCCTGTAACGTTAGCTCTATCTAGAATGTATCTGTTTGCAATTGCGGGCACAGTGGATGAATCTGAGGGCAATCACGTTCAGAGTGTGGTATCTCTTTTCCCCTTTGTTTTTTTTTTTGGAAGCAGTATCTCGGCTGTTTGTGCTTCTGCTCCCCGTGAGAGACGGAGAGCATTCCATGCGTGCCAACTGTTTCAATTCCAGGGCTTCACTGTGACGTAGCACTTTCCAGAATGTATCTCAATGCACTTCGCTGCAGCAGTGGGTGTATCTGAGGGCAATCACGTTCAGAGCTCGGTACCTCTTTTCCACTTTGTTTTTTTTTTTGTTTTTTTTCCTTTTGAAGATTCTCGGCTTTTTCTGCTTCTGCTCCCTGCGAGAGGCGGGGAGCATTCAACGAGATCTTTCCAGACAGATCTGGCTGCACTTCTGCCCAGGCCATTTTCATGTACACGAGTGGAAACAAGAAAGCTATGGGCCTCGCTCCACTGTTCTCGAAACGTGCAAAACGAGAGTGAATCTTCAGCTAGGACATAGAAAGATACACCACCATGATTTTTGTCTTATGTGCCTCTCTAGAGTAGTGGAGCGAGGCCTTATCGCCAGCCCAGCTGCTGGCAGCAGGTCCAGAATAAGGGCGGTACCTGTGCCAAGCATCAAATGTCCCACCCTGGTTCCAGGCTCGGCTTCAATAGCTGGGCCAACCCGGCCAAGTACTGGTGGTTTAAGCACAACCTCACACTCGCGCCTCATCGTTCAAGCGCATTTTGCAATTGCAAAATATATATATATATATATATATATATCGTCAAATAGAACTGCCTACGGTAAAGCGTAGGCAGAGAGGGAGAAGAGGACAACAAACGAGGGGCTGTGACAAACTGTTTCGTCGGAGTTTCACCGACTCATCTATATATCGTCAAAATATATATATATCATATATATATACAGGGTAACCGGCGTTCAGGACG